TTATCCTAATTTGAGGGTGCCATCTGTTTCCTGCTGATAGACCACTTTAATTTGATCTTATATGGGTTGAATGTTTGTGCTTGGTGATATTTCTGTGTTCCTGCCTCCTGAATCACAGCTCTGCATGTGGCAAAGCCCTCGGCCTTTGATGGCACACAGAACTGGGTTCACACCCATTTCACCTTCTGCAGTTGCAAGTCCTTTGGCTCGTCTCCTCTCCTCTTGGAACTTCAGTATCTTTGTCTTCAAATGCCAATAATAATAGTGCCATGGGCTCCATTGAGATTTCACATGAATCAAATGAGACAATAGAGAGTGGTGGGGAGTGGGACAAACTACAGAGCTTATGTCCCATTTAAAAGAGACTCCTTTGATCCAGGTAATGGTTGTCATAGAGAATAGCCATCCCAGGATTATTAGTTCTCCTGATAATTCAACAAGCCAGAAATAGTTTTGTATTTGAAATCTCCCCTTTACTAGGTCATTTGTAGGAGGAGGTGAATTACTATTTTATTCATTACTGCATCCCCAGTGACTAGATTGCTACTTTGAGCTCCTGCTCTGAAAATAACCACAACTGAAAAACACTAATGCAGTGAATCTTTTTCTGAACCCCCTGCAATGGGACTGAAGTGGGGTGTAGCCATCAATTTCAGGGTCCACTGTGTGGGTTCCTGATGTTCAGGTCCCCTGCAATCAGGTGCTTAATAAACGTGCCAGGGCTGAGATAGGAGCAGCGACAGCTGGTTTCAGCCCAATCTGTTCACAGATCCTCCTCTCCCCTGCCACAGCCTGAGGATACAAACCCAGTGAGCTGCGGATTTGTTCCTGAGTTTATAAATGCCAAGGAGACAGCTCTCCAGCAAAAAGAATGACTCGGTGGACACGCTGCAGATAAATAATGTATGAAACCACTTCTATTTTAACAGCATGTTGCAGTGACACTAATACTGATGAAAAACATTAGCATGTGCTCGGTGGTGTTACCTTCAGCGAGAGACGAGGTGTCAGGCTTTGGGCCACATCTAGTCCAGGTCAGAGATGTGAGAAACAGCAGCTCCTAGCTCATGTGGACCACTGGGTGATATGGGATGAAAGGGTCAAATGAGACGAACCTTGACCTTGGCAGGTATTATGTAGCAGCTGCTTGCTCTAGTCAGCTTGGAAGGCTGGAACAAAATGCCAGTCACTGGGTGGCTTGAACAACAGAAATGTCTCACAGGTTGGAGGCTGGGAGTCTGAAATCAAGGTTTGGCATGGTCAGGGTGCAGGGAGGGCCTTCTTTGTGGCTTGCAGACAGACAGCTGTGTCCTCACATCTGCTTCTAAGGCCCCAGACCTTATGGAATTAGGGCCCCACCCTTACGCCCTCAGTTCATCTTAATTACTTGCTAAAAACCCTATCTCCAGACACATCTGCAATGGGGTCAGGGTTCCAACATAAGAATTTACAGGGAACACCCTCTAATCCATATCACCATTGTTGGTTGGCTGATCCAAGAGACATTCCCAAACTCTCCTTTCCCAGTCACCTTGCACACCAGAGGCTGGAAAAGTTCATTGTTTTTCCAGCCTCTTCTGCAGTTGGCAGGAGTCATGTGAAATGCAATGATTCTTGAGTGAGATTCTACAGCGAGGGAGGGGATTCAGGGAAGAAGAAATGTTTTCCTGATAAAAGATACAGATGTGGTCAGTTAGCAGAGCCATCTATCTTTACTCTCTTCCTGCCCTGAAATCGGGATACTATGTCTAGAGCTGTTGCAGTCATTTTGAAAAGGACTTCAGCGCCAACAGCCTTATGTCACCGAGCCTTTAAACCAATGCTAATTGCTGCCCATATTCATGTTGGGTGAACAAGTAAATGCCTGTTGGTAAAAGGCACTGTCAGCTGGACCAATGAATGCATTCTGTGGCTCACCCTCCTGTGCCTCTGGAGCTCATCTGTACATGGGAGTGATAACCACACACCTACTATTGTTGTGGGAGGTGGGAGCTTTAATGAGAATCTGTTCAAAGTCTTAAAATAGAGCTTGGCATATAGTAAATCCTCAATACCAGCATTGTTATGTGTTAATAAATATGGGGATACTAGGCTGGTCTTACATTCCTGGAGCCATCACAAGTAATGCTGGGATAAATGAAAGTAAGAGTCAAAATGAAATAGAGACATATATGGCAAAACAAATAAATAAATTTATATATGTATACACATTTATGTGTATATTTATATAACTTGTACCATATATAGACATATGTCTATATGTGCATATATATGGAGATACAGATATAGATTCAGATACAGATGGCAGCAGATTTGGAGTCAGGAGACCAGGTCCAAATGTCCAACAATAAAGAAATGATCATGTAAACAAAGGCACAGCCACTCTATGAACAATGTATGCAGACATTTAAAATGCAAAAAAACAAAAAGACTATATTACATAAGGAAACACAATCAAATGTTAAATAACAAAAACAGAACACACATATATGCATACAAATTGTATTTGAAAGATGATCTCCATTTTGTAAAAAAAAAAAATTAAAAGGAAAGGAAATACACAAAATGAGACTTTATGAGCTTAGGGATAACTTTTTTCTTCTCTATGATTTTTCTAAATTGTTCATATTTCCAGCAAAAAAAAAGGAAAAGAAAATGCATAATCATTGTATAATAAAAAGTGTTAATAATTTCAAATTTTTTCTCTTTTATTTTCTGTACTTTCAAAATTAATTGCAATAAACTCACATTACATAAATTACTTACATATATGTTACTTATGTAAGAAAAAATAAGTTATTTTCTAAAATAGGAAAATGCATTTGTTGCCCAGAGACAGATGGACTCTGACCGGTCTTGGCAGGATTGCAGGGCCTGGAGCAAGAACACATTGTGGCTTCTTACAAGCTACCGACAAGGTAATCTCCATATATGTTAAAGTATAACTGTGTCCTGGGTGCAGCAGGGCATGTACCAGGACATGTCCTGCCTGCAAACCAGGACATGTCCTGCCTGCTGACAGGCAGAGGCAGAGGAACAGGTCACGGTGGCCCTCAGTGCACACTGTTCTGTTTTCAGTCAACAGGGCAAGGGTTCTTTCTTTCCTTCCAAACTTATGTGTGTTCCTATGAAGTTTTTAGATAAAAATGATTTTTTACTATAGAAATTTTGGTTTCGAGGCTCAGCTTCATCAGTGACCAGCTGTCTGGCGCAGGGAAACAGAACATTGTACTACTTTTTAAAAACTCCATTTTCCCCTCCCTAAAATGAGGATTATAAAATGACCTACTTCACTGAGGAATGCTGTGTTCAACAAACATTCTAAGGAGAATTAAAGTGCTTTATAAAATGCAAATTCTAGCGGCTGTGGCTGTGGCTCAACGGTTAGCGCACTTGCCTGGCATGAGTGAGGCACTAGGTTCGATTCTCAGCCCTGCAAATAAATAAATAAAATAAATGTCTATCAACAACTAAAAAAATAAATAAATAAATGTAAATTCCAGTGTGAACTTCAGTGAAAAGAACCCCAGCTCTGATTAGGCAGACTGGATTAACACCCCACCTGTGTCACCTAATGCGCAGAATTTAAGCAAGATAGATGACCTTCCTGAGCCTCAGTCTTCAGATCTAGAAAATGGACATGATTTGTTTCATTAACAAGACAACCGGAGATATAAACACCAATTTTTAAAAAGTTCTAATTATATTTTTGCCACCTTCTCAAAAATGACCAAAGTTAGCTCTTCTACCTAGAAGGGCTTCTCTAGGAGATGGGAACAAAACTTAACATAGCACTAAGAAGAGCAAAGAGGAGCCACACAAATCACCTGTTTCCGTAATCCTCACCCCAAAGCATTTTTCCAGATTCTGACCAATTGGACACCCCAGCTAGTAGCTGCGTTCTGAAATATCAGAAAAGAGATAAGAATATCTAGAGCTTATATACATATATATGTGTATTTACAATTTTTATATATGATTTATATGTATGATCATATTTACGTGTGTGTGTGTATGTGTATATATATATAATTTTCCTTTTTAAAAACTAGTAAAGGTTTGACTGCTGGGAACACATAAGAAGCCATTGTGTCCCTAAATCACTGAATCACAGCAACCTGAAAGAGCAACAGATGTGCAGCCTATTGAGTGTCCAACTTCCCACCGTGTCCCATCAATGCGAGCTGATAAATCATGCCCTTCCCCTGTTATCTGAGGATGGCAAATCAATACTTCCATTATTATTATTATTACTCCCAAGACACCTCTCCAGCAGTGTCTGAGCTGTTCTCTCCCACGCACAGAGCCAAAAGGATGACGAATCAGCTTCTCTAAGACCCCATCCATCACTGCAGGAAGGGAAAGGATGAATTGGAGAGAAGAAACATTAGGGCATGGGGGAAAAAATAAAGTCTGAAAAGGTCTGAAATAGCTGCTCAGGGTTGTCCTAGAACTTCCATAAGGGGATCCATTATAGGTGGTGATTAAAGAGATGGATCTCTGGAGACTTCAAGTCCCGGGGTCAGCGCATGACCCTGGTGATTTTATGCACCTAAAGTTTGCTCCTTAAAAACTTGGAGATTACTGTTCACTGGTAGAAATCACTGGTGATGAAGTCGGAAGTTGTATGGTGCTGCTGTTCATCTCTCAGAGACGTTTTTTACCAAACACCTTCATGCATGCTTGTGGGAATGGACCAGCAGCTTGCTCATCACAGCAATTCAGTTCTGTGGCACAGGGATGTCCCTTGACTGACACTAGCAGTTCTAAAAGGTTAGTATGCACACAAGTCAGCCAAAGGGCCTGGTAAAAGAGAAATGACTGGATGCCCTTGGAGTTTCTTATTCTGTTGGTCTTGAATGGGGCCAGAAAATATGCATTTCTAACAAGTTCCCAGGTAATCTGAAACCCCTCCAGTCATCCATGAGCCACCTCTACAACACAATTCCTAACCCACCCACCACCGATATTGTCTGGATGCAGCATGACTGTGCGCTGAATTTTCTTCAATAACTTACTTTAATTAAACATGCTTTGTGTAAGAACCAAACAATAGAGGGAAAAAAAAAAAAACAAAGAAAGAAAAACGCATCTCAATTCCCACCATCCCAAAGATAATCCCTGTTAATAAACTGATGCACATCTATCAACACACATTCTCCTATGTATAATTTAGAATCTCATTTAAAAAAAATCTCAAAAAAACAGGGCAACCTGTTTTTTTTTCCCCTCATACATAGAACAAATTTTGATAAAGAAAATATAATCTCTAAAATTTGGGCAAGTATACTACTTCATGGAAACGTAACATGACCCTCTTATAAAATGAAGCCTTCTTTTCTTTTTTATTCATCTGGTTTTTTCCAGCACCAGAGGTTGAACATGCTAGGCAAGTGCTGTACCACTGAGCCGCACCCCCAGCCTTGCAGCACTGTTTGCCTACTCACAGGCACACTGGGTAAGTGTGAGAGTGTGTGTGTGTGTGTGTGTGTGTGTGTGTGTGTGCTGAATTCGAAGAACACATCAGGATGCGATGAACATTTTGCAGTAAATCAGGGTTCTGGGTCCAAGTCAGTGAGCCCAGCACAAAGGAGTTGAAACCCCAACTCCTTTATAGCTTCCAGTATACATCCTGGATTTTCTCCAGCAGTCTAGGACTGACTGGAGACATTGGTACTTGGTTAAAGATTCACAAATATTCTGGTGCTGGAATGAGTCACTGGGTAAGGGCCTGATAAGCTTAGAGCGGAAGTGGGCAGAGTGAGAAGGGCGGGGAGGTCCTTGATTTGATCAGTAAACCCAGAGAATAGACCCAGGTTTCACACCCATACCTGAGGCTTTCATTATAACCAAGCATTATAACCTTTATACCTGGAGAACATGGTTACGTTGTTTTTTTTATTTGACATCCTTTAGTTAATCTGTCCCCATTTTCCAGATGAGGTTTGGTGAGAGTCCCTGACCTCATGCACACAAAGCCCTGAGCATAGTGCCTCATGCACAGCAGTTGCTCAATAAACATCAGTACCACTGAGGAGAAAGGCTGAGAGTGTGCACGCTGTAGGGTCTCCCATCTCGTCCCACCTACCCTCTCTGGGCCAGACTAGAGCATTCATTCTGTGGTTAATAATGAGTTAGAAATTCCAGGACACCAAGAAGACAGCAAAGAATCAAAGCCCAAAAGACAAATCAAATTCCTTTTTCTTCATCAAATCTAAAGACTAATAAAGTCCAGATAAGTACATACAAAGCTCCCAGGCCTCTGCCTAAAAGTGGAAATCATCATCATCAAAACGAACTTGAGCTTCAGAACAGACCTAGCTCACATGGTGACAGAGGAAGGCAGAAGCTCTCGACTCAGGGCGTCCAGAAGAGCCTATCAAGCAAGTGGCGGGGCCTTGGAAAAATGTGTTATCCTTTTCCCTGGGGGAAACTGGGGCTTGCGGTGAAGTCTAATTACAACCTCTTTTTGCCTCATTTGGAACACAAAGGGATAACATAGCCTTAGTATATTTATAGAAGGCAGAAAGGGGTAGATTCAAATAAAGGGAGTGGGGGGGGGGCCAGAAGAGGGATTTACCCAAGGTTCTCATCCTTTTGCACCAGACATCTCGAAAAGGAGCCAGATGCCTCAGCATTCCATGATAAAGAATCATTGTCACATGCTATTAATTCCATCTGGTCCCATGAAGAGGGGAAAAAAAATCATTGCCTGGCATGCTCTGATCTCAAGCTTCATTAAAGTGATTTTCCCCCAGAGTCTCCTATAACAGCATGTACAGCACTTAGTCCTGTGCCTGACTCCTCGTAAGTAATCAATAAACGTAAACGAGAGTCGCAGCGGCAGCGAGGGCGACCTGCTGAGCTCGTTCCTTCCTCAGCTCGGCTTCCCCCACTCAAGACACCCCCATGGGGCCTGGGGCATGGCTCTTCTGTCTTCTGAGTTCCTCCACAGCCTGAAGATGTTCTTGAGGATGTGCTCCCTCCAAGGTCCCTCAAGTCCACGATGACAGAGACATCCCAGCTGAAGAACTGAATTTCACAGGTCTGACACTGACACAACCCATGGAATTCAGTTCTCAAAGCTGAGAATTCACACACTCTCCAGAGATGGCGCAAAGCTCCCTCCTTACAGTCCAGTCCAGGCCCGGCTCAGCTCTGTAAGACACAAGACAGAAAAGCCTGGTAAATCCAGAGCATCAGCTTCTCAGGACTGGGCGCTCAAGACTCAGGAGCACCTGGAAAGGCTGTGCTGACGGGCACACAGTTACTAGCTTCATGCGACTACGTTCTGCACAGGAGCAGAGGTGAGAAGCTTCCAGCCGTCTCCTCCCCTTCTCACCCTGGACACAGTGGAGAGCCACCAGGGGCCATTCAAATGAGGGCAGCCTCCCCCACCACCACCCCCGATCTAGGGAAGGAAAGGGTGGCATGCAAGAAGATCTCGAAACTGTAGGGCTTCTCTCAGGCCCTGGACAGCTGTACCTGCTCTCTATCATCAGAGGTGAAGCTACCTGGTTTAAGCCACTGGGAGGTCTGTGTTACAGCCTTCCAATGTTACAGCTTTACTGATACCTCTCTCTCAGTCCCAGGAACCCCCTGATACTGTCTCATTATACCCCAGCTCTTTCCCTTCTCAGCACTTCCGTAACTTGTAACTGTTAGCTCTCTTTATAAAATTATTTGATAGATATTATCTCCCCAACAAGATTATGTCTTCCAGAAGGGCAGAGTCCCTGCTAGTGTTTAATACACACACACACACACACACACACACACACACACACCTTTCTTGAGATAAAACTCACATACTGCACAATTCACTTTTAAAGTTGTTGGTGTATTCGCTGAGTTGTGCAACCATCACCATGATCCATTTTTAAATATTTTTGAAACCCCAAAATAAACCCATTAGTGCTCCCTCTGCAATACCCACTCTCCAGCCTTCAGCAATCACTGATCTACTTTCTGTCTCATATCTATTTGCCTATTCTAGACAGTTTATATAAATGAAATCATGCACTAGGTGGCCTTTGGGGACTGGCTCTTTCACTTTGGATAAGCCTTTTGAAGTTCCTTGTGGATGAATGGCATTCCACCTTGTGGACGTACCACCTTTGCTTATCCACTCATCAGGTGATGGGCATCCACATTGTTCCCACATTTTGGCCATTAGGAAAAATGCTTCTCCACGCTCACCAGCAAGTTTTGTGTTGACATATCTTTTCATTTCTCTCGAGCATAGCCTTAGGAGTAGAACTGCAGAGTGACATTCCAGCTCTATGCTTTACTTTTTTAGAACTCACAGTTTTCCAAAGTGGCTGCACCGTTTTACATTGCTACCCTTAGCGCGTGAGGGTTTCAATTTCTCCACATTGTCACCAATACTTGTTATTGTGTCTTTTGATCACAGCCAGCCTTGTGGGTGGGAAGTGGCAGAGCTGTGGTTTGGATTTGCATCTCCCTGATGGATAATGATGTTGAGCTTCCTCTCACGGCTTCCTCAACCATTTATATAACTCCTTTGGGAAAATGTCATTTGGATCCTTTGCCAATTTCATACTTAGGTTATCTTTTAATAATTGAATTGTAAGAAGAGTTCTTTACATATTCTAGATATGTAGCTGTGTATATAATTTACATATATATAACTTACAAATATTTCCTTTTATTCTGTGGGTCATCTTTTAGCTTTCTTAATGTGCATGTGTGTGCACGTGCATGTATATGTTTTTCACAACATTATTTCCAGCTTCTAGCAGAATGTCTGAACCATGCTAGACATTCCAGTGGTTTGGAAGGAAGGAAAGAAGGAAGGAAGATAGGAAATTTCAGAGAACAAATGGTTCCATTTTCTTATTTATAAATCGAAAAAAAAAAAAAACTGAAAACCTAAAGATATTAAGATGGTGGCCTGATGAGATAATAAGGAGACAGAAGTTAGAACTAGGTTTTAGTCCCAACTTGTCTCCTACTAGTTACAAAAACTAGGCAGGTCACTTAGGCCCTGTGGATATCAGAGACCTTCAAAAGAAATGGCCCCCTTGGGTCCAGAGGGTAGGAACTTCCAGACCCACCCTCCAACCTCCAGGGAGGGGAGAGGGGTTGAAGGTTAGGTTGGTCAGCAAAGGCCAATGACTTCATGGATCACACCCTTGTAATAAAACCTCCATAACAACCTAAAAAGAAGGGTTTGGAGGGTGTCTAGATAGCAGAACACGTGGTGGTGCCTAGAGGGTGGAAAGCCCAGAGAGGTCCTGGAAGCTCTGCACCCCTGCTCCCATAGCTCACCCCGTGCCTCCCTCCTTGTGTAGACTTTGTGACAGCCTCCATGATAAGCTGGAAACTACTAAAAAAGAAAAGGAAATGGCCTCCTCTCTCCTAGCAAATGCTACGAGAAGCAAAGTGAACTAATGTATAAAATCCCACTGCTTGAACACAAATTGTACATGAGATCCAGGGTCGAACAGCTAAATCAGCAGGGCCAAAAATAGGTGGTGTGTGGCCCAATTTCTGGTCCAGCGTGCACGTGGGGATCTTGATTCATTTTTCAGATCGTTGCTGATTTCCGTCACTCATCGGGAGGTTCAATGTGGTGAAGGGCACCACTAAAAAGGGCCCCAAGTCACACAAGTCCTGGATCCTCCCACTGAGAATTGTTTCCACTAAGCATTCTCATTAAGAGTAGCCCCAAGCAGGGAGTTCGTCTGATTCACTGTGCCTGGCACATGATAGATCCACCAAAATGTGCTTTAATTAGTGAACAACTGATGATCAGATGCAGGAATGGATGAAGGAAGGACAAGGAAAAGCATGAATGAATGGTGACCGTCACAGAAGCCTGAATCCCACACTCCTCCTGAAGCAAGTGGGGCTTCACACGCCAGGAGCAAGGACTCTGAAGTGGTGTCTCAGCCTCACTGGAGGAAACAGGCTCTGGAGTTCAGCTGCTAGGGTTCTAGTAGAGTCTACCGGCAGTGCACAGTGGGAGAGGAGCAGCCTTGTGTCTCCATCTCCTCCAGAGCTTGCCTCTTTCTGTCTCTGTGCTACACCCTGACTTTCACTCCTCTGCGCCACGCCAGGCTTCTCACTCCTGATCATCCATGGCCCTGAGCCAAAGCTCCAGGCATTTTTTTATTCTGGTTGAATCCACACAATTTGGTGATTACTCTATAAATGTCTGCATTGCTCACACCGAAGCACCGTCTCCAGTTACTCAAAATGACCCACTACACACTCGCGGCCCTCAGGTGGCATGTGATGGCTTCTCCATCACCCTCAACTCGTTGTGGCCTCTTCCACTTAAAGGTGCATCATTTGAGGCACTCCAGTCTTTAATCCCCGAAGTCAGCTTTGCCTCTCCTCTTACACGTTGGAAGAAAACCATGACGTGTAAGAGGGAGAAGCAATCGCCTTACCCCAAAGAGCTGCAGCTTAGGGGACCCGGAGATATGAAAGCCAGCAACACCACATAATAACCACCATTCACCGAGTGCAATGGCATGCCAGGCCCCAGCAAAGCACTTTAAGGGCAAATCTCACTTCACTCCCACAAAGCCATAGGAAAATGCTATGATGGGGTGAAGGAGGAAGAAGAAAGGGAGGGGGGAGGAGGAGGAGGAAGAGGAAGTAAGCAATTAAAACACTCGCTCACTCACCCTAGCACACACAACTCTTTTAACCACTGGCTACCTCTTGAAAATGTTAAAACAAATAAATAAATTAAGTTTCTTTCCTAAAGGAATTTAAAGACTAGATAAGGTGATATGGTAAACACATGAGAAATGAGTGACCATAGATGGCAACAGAAAATAGGCACTAAGCCCAGCCTCAGCAAGAGGGGCCAGCAGCAGGCAGAAGGGGGACCCTTCACTGAATACCCCTGCAAGTCCTGCAAGCTCTACCTTCAGGGATCACCTGGAACCTAACCTCTCACTCACACTGGAGACACTGTCACTTCCCCCTGGACCTTACACCTAGATGGTAACAAGAGCCTCTCCATTGATCTCCTGGGCCTGCTCCTGCCTCCAAGCAGCACCCAGGGGATCTGATTCAAAGACAAATGGGATCACATTGCTTCCCAGTATAAAGCTCTCCGACAGTTACTGTCACACTGAGGACAAAATCCGAACTTAAACCCAAACCTCTCCACATGGCCTCCGAGGCCCCAGATGATCTGGCCCGGCCTCCACCTCCAGCATCCCTCCTTGCACCTGTCCTTCATCCATCCAATCCTGCCCAGCTGGCTCCTCGCTGTTCCTACCTGCACCAGGCTGTTGCCTCTTCCTGGAATGCTCTTCCCCCAGTACCTCCACTGCTCACCTTTCACTCCTTCCAGATTCTTCTCAGAGGTCAGCTCGTCCAGCGTCCATCCCTAACCAACCTGCCTAAAGCCACCACGGACCTGCCCATACACCCACCTGCCCATCAGGTGCTCTGTCCCTTCGCCCAGCTGTTTCTCTTTAGCAAATTTATTATTCTTTCATAGTTATTTATTTGTCCCCTGCCTATCTGTCTCCCAGGGGGAAAAGCTCCATGGTGATAGATATGTTGTCCAGAATAAAAGTGGCATTGAGTACCTGGGTCAGTTTCTTGACTTTTTTTATCATCATTCCCCTGAAGGCTCTTTCTCAGAAGTCTTTTTTTCACTAATTGCCTCCACTGTGAAATGTCAGCAGCACAGATCTACTGTACGTACATATATGCTCTATGTATATATATGATATATAAAGAGAGTGTGGTTTTCTTTCCCCAATGTGACCAGTTTTCAGGCCTTGGTTGAGAGGGGGTGGAATGGGTGAGTGTCATATCTCCCCCACTGAAAACACGTGGACTAGAAGCTGGATAAATGTCTGTTACATGGATAAACTCCTAAAGCGAGCAACGTACTGAGAGACAGACATCATTGGTCAACAGGTTCATCTGGGGAAATTCCCCCCTCCCTCTAATCTCTGAGGTAGCAGCATATCCTGTCATGCTGTGTATGGTGACTACCCAGTTACTTTTCTAATTCAAGGTCTCAGCCTTTCTTTTTTCTTTTTTTCTTTCTTTTTTTTTTTCCTTTTCTTCAACTCTTACCTCGTTAAGCACCCCAGCTCCCACTATTATTGTGTATCCTTAAATTCACCTTTCCTCTATCCACACCCAGGCATGAGTTA